CCCCCCCCTCACCACCACCATCCTAAATACACCTCCACACATCCATTAATGTGGATTAAACCCTTGTGTTATAGTTAGTAAATGCAGCCAAGGAAATAAAAGGCGCGAGTGTCAAAGTTGCAACTTACACATGGTAAGGACTCGATCTGTTATTAATTCTGATATATCATTCATATATATTTTGGATATACTCCTCCAAAGCTTAACTACAAACAAACAGAGTACTGACAAGAATGTAATGTATTCTCTCTCCATTGTATTTCCAGGGACATGCCGTTTCTGGAGCAGCTCAAGGTAAGACAACAATCTAGTCATCTCTAGTTATCTTACGCTTGTGGTACTTAGTATAAGAACACCAGGGATGATGCTAACCTACCCCCTCTCTTCCCCCACCCCACCACCACTGTTCTAGTAAACAAAAGTTTTCTTATTTTTAACGCATTCTTGTTTTACAGGTGACGCATAATTCAGACATATTTATTGGGATGCATGGTGCTGGATTAGCGCATGCGCTCTTTCTCCCTGATTGGGCCCTTCTATTTGAACTGTAAGTGTCTATCTTCCCACGCTTTTGGGTGGAAAATTTTTCGAGACATACTTATTTGTAGTTTTTTTGCTAGGAAACGTTTTGCGTATTTTGCGGGATGGAAAACTTATTATGAGAAGTATCAATTTGAAGGTTTCTTGGCTGAAAAAAAAAACGTTTCTCACCATACTGAGGTTCCCTTACAAATATGACCGTGAAATTTGTAAGGGAGGATTATACCCTTTCAAATGCTCAACCAGTAATATCCATGATGTTCACCACTTATATAAGCTGTTATCATTTAATTCTGCAAATAACGTGCGTGATATGGAAAAAGACCATGCCTGATATGAGACCGTATCAGCACTTCTCATCTGCTCGTTCTGGGTACGATAGGGTTGAGAGAATCTGAGCATTTATTTGCAGAATTAAATGATAAAGGCTCGCCAAAATACTCCGTGACTCGTTTGCAATAGACGTCATAGCCACCATGTTGGAAGAATTTGACAAAAAATCTTTCAATGAATTCTTTTGTTATATCTTCCAACATGGCGGACATCCCTTTTTGTTATTGTGCTCTCTTGGGATTGATTGCAAACCAAGAATATGTTAATATTCCCTTTTCGTTATTTCTTTTTTAGATACAATTGTGAAGACCCAAACTGTTACCGCGATCTAGCAAGGCTCAGGTACTGCTTTCTGCTTGATTTATGCTTGTATTTGTTAAAAGATCAAAGCTGTCTTCAAAATAGACCTCTTTACCTTGGGCATAATGTTTACCCATTTCAGACCACGTGTCATTCTCTTGAGTTTCATTTCTTTGTTTAAGGGTTGCACATCACAAGACACATGAATATGGATACAACTCAAACAAGGAATGTTATTCTCAAGAGAATGACACGTGGTCTGAAATGTGACAACATTACGACCAAGATGAATAGGCTTATTGCTTACGAGGGAACTATACATTAAGGCAAAGATAAATACGATGCCTGTCACAGCTGTGGTCATGTGTTTGTTCCTTGGACCCGCCTTCATATTTAAGTAAGGTTCTCTGTTGGTTCTCTCGCTATGCTATAAGGTTTTTTTAAGCCCCCATATCCCGCCCACCCCACCCCACCCTTCAAATCGCACTTGGTATAACCGTATTTGATAGACGCCTAAGAATAATTGAAACCATTACATTGTCACATCACACTCTCCTCCCTCCCTCCCCCCTC